TCACTGCAGGCAGCCTCCTCCCCTGGGCAAAGGACAGATGAGAGGCCAGTCCCCATGGCCCTTCCCAGCAGGCCTTAGGCTGCAGTATCAAGTCAGCAGAGGTAGGGCAAGGGCAGGCACACAGCTGGCACACCCACCAACCTGGGGTGCTCTGTCTCAGCTACTCACCCAGCAGGGAAGCCCAAACAACAAATGCTTCCCACTCTCCCTCTTGTACCACCCTCCTGGGCCAGGTGGAGGATGTGTGTGTGATAAGCCAGGGCCCCCCAGGGGGGCAGGACAGAAGAGGACTGGAGATACTAAGTATTAAGCCTGGCCTCACTCACCACCGCCAGACTGAGGCAGCAACTAGGTGGCAGGAGAAGACAGAGAACTCAAGGGCCCACCACTCCCACCACAGTCCTGGAGCTGCCCTTCCTAGAAGACTTCCCACCTCCTGACAGCAGGCCTCTGCAGCCTCCAGCACTGGGCTCCAGAAGTCTGTGCATTCTCCCTTGTGCTGTTTGGAAAGCAGAAAGTTCCCAATCCTTCTCTACTAAACACCACTAACAATAATTATCAGAATTAGTGCATGTGGCTATTTATCGAGTGTTATTTTGGTACTGGGAATTAAATTCAGGGCTCTACCACTTGAGCCATGCCCCCAGCCCTTTAGTTCCTGTTTTGTTTTTGAGATGGGATTTGCCCACTACCTTTGCCAGGGCTGGACTCAAACTCAAGATCCTCCTGGCCCTAGATCAGCAGCATGACCCATTCAAAGAATGGTAACAGCTTTATCTTTTATGAAACCAGAAAAAGTGTTTACCCATCCCACTTCCAGTGGGACCCCAGCTTCAGTGGGACCCATGCGTAGGGGTGGCATTGCATCCCTTGGGAAGGGGTCCCATTAGAAATCAACAGCCCAGCTAGTGCCTCCACTGAGCTGGAATAAACTCATGCCTTTGATTGAGAACCAGAGAAAAATGGTGGGTGTTCAGAATTCATGTGGTCCTAATGTGAAATGAATCACTATGCCTAAGCTGCCCAGCTGGCAGAGTGGCTCAAAAGTGTAAAGTGCCTGTCTTGCAAGAGTGAGGCCCTTAGCACATAGCGTGAGGCCCTGAGTTCAACCTCCAGTACTGCCAAAAGAAGAAAAAATAATAATGTTCAGACTACTAGAGGTTGGAGGAAATCAAGAAAAACAGGAAACTCACTTTTCTCAGCCCATCTTCAATCTGGGGAACATATGACAGACTGGCAGGGGGAATCTCCTATAATATTTTTGCCATGTGCTTTCAAAGTATGTGCATGACAAACCTTGGCTGTAGAGGGGAAATGGAACAGTCTTTGGGACAGAATAAAGGTGTAGACAGGGAACACAGGAAATGAAGGTTTAGGTTTCGGGAGTGTAGAGGGCAGAAGGGGACAGTTTTATTTTTGACCCACTGTTTCCAAAAGGTTGCTTGCTCTTGTCTATGGGCTTTGTGGCCCAAGTCAGAAGGAACTCGGACTTTTCGTAATAAACCCAAGAGTCTTCACCAATTTGATGCCAAATTGAAATGATGAAACTAGTACCCCTACTTGGCATGTGCATGCTGCTAATACACTTGACCAATGGTGTCTGCCCAGGCCCAGGTGCTGCCAGCAATAAAGGCTCTTGAGATTGGACAACTGCCTAAATAGCTATGACTTCCAAGTGAAGCATTTTCCTCATAAGGTTGTTCACACTTCACTGAGGCACACTTCCTTTCCCTTCCTCCTTCCCTCCGCTCTTTTTTTTGGTGGGCCTGGGGTTTGAACTCAGGACTTCACACATTCGAAACAGTCTCCTCAAAGCAGGCACCCTACCACTTGAACCACACCTCCAGACCATTTTGCTGTGGTTATTTTGGAGATGTGGTCTCGTGGACTATTTGCCCAGGCTGGCCTTGAACCACAATCATCTTCTCTCAGTCTCCCAAGTAGCATGGATTACAGGCATGAGCCACCAATATTCAACTTCCTTTTTGTTTTCTGAGACAGGGTCTCATTATATAGTCCAGGCTGGCCCCAAACTTGTGATTCTCCTGCCTCGGCTTTCTGAGTGCTGGAATTAAAGGTGTGTGCCACAATGTCTGGCAGAGGTATTTTTTCTTCCAAGAGGGAAAGGAACTTTAAGAGTTAACAGCATTACAGAGGGCTATCAGAATTGATAAGATACTGTTTCATCCTGACAGGGCTGTATTTGTGCATGAGGTGACTGAGGTAGCAGAACTTCAAGACTCCCTCCTTCTGATCAGCCCATGGAAATGCAACTCCTAAGACAAGACTCATCTCACTTGCCATGCTTTCCTCTGAGAGTGCAGCAGGAAACCTGCAGACAATTTCCAAAAATGCATCAAGGTGGTCCATTGGTTCCTTAAGGAAGGAACTTGAAGACTGGGTGGCAAAGTGAAGCCAGGAGATTTAAGTGGCTCCAAGTACACACTAGTGTAAATCAAAGGAATATACTGGGTCCTCTTCTCTCCAAAGAGTACATGAAGTAATAGGCTAAAAAAAGCACCAGGAAGAGTTGGGTGTGGTGGTACACATCTGTAATCTCTGTACTCAGGAGGCTGAGGCAGAAGGATAGAGTTCAAGGTCCAGCTGGGCTATCAAGCAGGACTCTACCTCAGAAAACAGAACAAACCAGGAGGAGGGATGCTCATGAGATTTACAAAAAACCTTGACTGCTAGTCTGGGTAACTACCAGGGATGACTACTGCCATGGGAAAGTGTGAGTCTCATGTGTGGAAACTACACATGTGGAATTCTCCTGCACTACCTGTAGGTGAAGGCAGCTCTGAGCAATGGTCATCAGCCTCAGGAATTTTCCAACATCTCTATTCACAAGCTCAGTGCTGGATGCAGGGATCTCCCACTCCCTGGGGCAGGTAAGGAGTCAGAAGATGGGGAGGATTGAAAACACAAACCCAGTATCATGAAATAATTTCTAAACATTTTTATTTCAAATCTCTTTTCACCCCTCCCCAAAAAGACATGGGTCGGTCGGTACAGCAATCATAAAAAGGAGATACAAACACAAGAGTCAAATGTCTCCCGCACTGAATTAAAAAACCGGGAATTTATACATGGGTTTCCAAACAGGACTGCAGCAGCTACAATGTCCCTTTACGAGAGTCAAACATGCCTATTAATACAGTATAACAGACACCCATTCTGGAACTAATCTACAGGGACATCCCAACAACCCGCCCCTCTACACCCAGAAAAAATACCAAAACACACCCAAAGTGCATTTATTTTGTTTATATCAAAACATCTTTCCCTCTTCCCATCCCTCCCCTTAAACCCTCCCATCCCCATTTAAGATTGGCCTGCAAGTCTATTTTAACCATTTAGTCATTTTTTATAGTTTATGAAAATAAATTATACAGCAACTATTTTAATAAATTAAGCACAAAAAGGGAGAGTAAAGGAGGAACAAATGGGAAGACAAAAGCCAGGCCACGCTTTGGCTTGGAGGGCAGGGGTGGCTAACAGGGACAGAGTGGTTGCAGAGGGTGTGGTTCCCCTTCTGGTGAGGAAGTGAAAACCACAGTGAGCCAAAAATGACACTCCCTCATCATGGAGTTTCTTAAAAACAACCAAAAATGTACAGCAGTGGCTGTGCCACAGGCAGCACCAGTTTAAGCATCCCAATTACTGGCCTGCCCACAGAGCGGTGCCTGGATCCTGCCTGTTCCACAAGGGAGCACCAGGGATGAAGTGGTCAAAGCAGCCTTACGCTCCACCTGAGCTGGTTAGGAGCTGAGAACGCAGCTGATCATGGCTGCGGCTGCGTGCGCCTTAGGTGATTACTCAGGGTAGGTTCTGATGAAGAGTGTCCTATTTCCTTATACTCTGTCTCTAGGAGCAACTGAGATCGCAGTCCAGCTGCGACCAGATTTTGACGTCTTCCCGCCACAACTGGCTGCTTTTGCCTGCCCCCAATGCCTCCTAGCATTGCAGAAGAAGGGTAGGAGAGGGGAAGGGAGTAGTTCCAAGGACCCTCTAAAACCCACTGAATGAAATGGGAGTGAACGCATGTCACAAACTCAGCATGCAGGACTGGCTTCCTGGGAGGTAGATGAGAGTGGGAAAGGATGAGAAAAGGTGCAGAGAGTACAAGAAGGGAGACAGGAAAAACCTAGGTGACCCCCTACTCCAGGACATCCAAGAAGCAATGTAAAGGACAAAGATGACATGAAACCTGCATGTAAAGAAAGATCTCTTCCTCTGGCAGATTAGGTAATTTTCTAAATGCAATTCATTCCTCTATTTCTTAACTGCAGTATCTGGGTCCCCAGTGCCTGTCTCTGTGATTCAACCCCATCTCACTTCTCCAAACACTTGTTCTCCATTTGCTCAAGGCCTCCTGTCATTCTGTGCTGAGCATGAGGGCTCCAATGTCAAAACAGGATATATTGGGCGGACTTTTGTGGCCCAACAATCTTATAGCTATTGTAGTAGGGCACACTTTTCTTTTTTTTTCTTTTTTTCTTTTTTTAATAAAAAAGGTTTTACTCCCCAGGAGCAAATAAATCATTTTGAACTACTGATAAACACTGCTGCAGTGAAAAGAAAGATGGCTACATGTATGCAATAGCACAAATTCAGTGTAAGGACAGCTATGTTGACTAGAGATAAAAACCACTTATCCATTCCTCACTTTTCCACAAACCAAACCAAGAGGATTCCCATAGGGAAAATGTCTAACTCAAAAGTTCCTCCCTTATGCACAAGGGGCATGTCATTCTCTTAAAGTGGAAAACAAATCCCAGTCCCTCCAGTGGAGATACTGTCAACACCCCAACTGGTGGCAAGACTTCTACAAATGAAGACGAAGAGACAGACAGACACACACACACACACACACACACAAACACACACACACACACACACACACACAAAAACCCCTTTCCAGCAGCCACAGAGCTACATCCCAGAGCCTAGTCCTCTTAATTTCTAGGCTCAAAGCTAAGGGAAGGGGAAGATCTTACCTTGGGAAGAAAGGTTCCACTTATCCCCACTTCTGGCTGAGACAAGGGCATCAAGCAGGCCATGTTCTTCTGGGGCCCACGGTAACGGCTGAAAAGTCTGGCTCCCAGAGCACTTCTGGTTCTACTCTGGCCTCTCATGTCTCTGACTCTGGGGACTCTAACCACACCTACTTCCCAATTCTTCCAGATGTGCCCTAGAGGGATGCATGCACATTACTCCCAACTTCAAAAAGGGGCGTATGCAATCAACCCAATGAAAAAATAGGAAAGGAGGGAGCAGGTACCAGGGGGCAGCTCTTCAACAAGCCTTTTTTCTAGGAGGCAAGTGCTGCCATCACATTCACTTTATCTTGGCATAGTGGGAGACCAGGCCAAGGTCATCATCCCAAAGTCCTTTAAGGGCCAGCTGTCACCCAATTACCTAGTTCTCCACACCAAACCCCTCATCCTCCTACTCCTGTGCTCCCAACAAATCACATGCATTTCAAGTAACAGCAGGTTACAGCAGTAGTTGTCACTAGTTCACATTGGCTCATACCCGTCCTAAGGAAGGTTACAGTAGATCAGTCATATACAAGTAAAGGGCCTGAGAGTACTACACACACACACAACATAGAAATCAACAGTGGGTCCCTAGAAGTGAGAACTTTTTTCAGCTTTAGCATGAAACAACCAAAGAGGAATGAGTCCTCTCTGTAGACTGCATTTCCACTGGCACTGCCCTGCACTGCAAGAGTGAACTCCAAGTGCTGACTGCTGCTACACACACCACACAAATAGAAATCAACAGTGGGTCCCTAGAAGTGAGAACTGAGAACTTTTTTTCAAGCTTTTAGCATGAAACAACCAAAGAGTGAATGAGTCCTCGTCTGTAGACTCATTGTCCACTGGCACTGACCCTGCACTGGCAAGAGGTGAACTCCAAGTTGCGGACTGCTGGCCCTCCTCCTGCTCCCTCTGCGGACTCTCTGGCCAGCCAGCAATTCAGTCAATTGCCCCAGCCTCCTTGCCCCCACTGCTTACCTAACTTACTCTACACAAGGCCACCTCTACTGGCACCAAACACATGCCTGATAGAGACTGTCTACTGCACTGCTGTTTTGCAGCCCATTCTATGAGAAGGGTCAGGTATATAAAGCAGACAGACCACAGATGCAGTTAAAACACTCTTCCCTAGGAAGACAGAGAAGGGGAGTGATGAGGTTGAGTCATTCCTCTGCAGCTGGTTTGATTTTGTACCTGAGTGTATGAATTCTCCAGTGGAAACCTCAGTGCCACAGGGATACTCACTATTAACTACTGTCTGCTACCTCACAGAGCCTGAGCTGACAATAATCAACAGTGAGGTCCTGGGTGATGAACAGGCACCACACTGACTTCTGCCTTTGGCTTCCACCTCCCATCATGTCCCTTCAGTCTTCAAACCTGCCTCATGACAGAAAGTTTCATTGTACACCACTGTGATGAAGTAGGATTCTGTAATGCTGTTGTTTTAAGGAGGCCATGCACTGCTCAGAACATGCCATACCATTTCTGCTTCCTTGCTTTTATTCCATGTAGTTCTCATCTCATTGTGCTGCCCTTGCCTACAACCCAAAGCCTCATCACCACAGAGCTTTCCCAGACCATCTGGTCTACCCTAATCTCACCCACTCTAAATGTCTTTAAAGACAGTCCTTGATTCTCTGCCACAGTGAGTCGTTCTCCAATTGCTTCATGCATGGCAGTCACTTAAAAGCTCTCCTAGACTAGGGAATATGTCTTCTACTTCCTGTTTTCCACATAATCTAGCCCAGAGCCACACAAACATATATTAAAAGAAGTAGGCTATAGGCTGGGTTGATGCTGCAAAGCCCATTTTGTGGGCCATTTCTTTATGACCAGGTAGTGATGCATATTTCTTCTCTGTTAAACTACCAGGAAAACTGGCCAGCCAATGCTTTCGTATGAGGCAGTCCGATAATATAACCAAGACACAGGAGCCCCACTCCCAAACCATCAGGAAACCACAAACCCAACAATGTTATTTATCTCATGATCTGAGGCAGATATAGCACAGGGAACCCAAAAGGCAGTCTCATGGAGCACTTACTGCAGAAGAGGAATAGAGCTCAACTGTCACATCTCAACAGCAAATCTTTCCCCAGAGTAATTCTATGGGAAAGCAAACTCGCAATGTTATATGATTGGCAATGGACAGCTGCAGGCATAATTAAAGATCACTGAAAAGCACTGAGTTTTTCTCCTCCCTCTTCCCTGTTCACCTGGGAAATAGGCAACTCTCAAATCAGCACCTGAGAAACCTCCCACTGAATGGAGGACAACAGGATCTAACTCAGGAAATGTCTGATTGCTAGAATGAACAAAGGAAAAAGAAGCCCTTGCCACCTTGTCCCAGAAGTGGGACAGTAATAAACTAAAAAACACGAGATGTGATGTTCTAAGGAAATCCCATTAAGGTTGAGACACTGAGGATTCCTCTGGGAAGAGCACAATAGCTGTTTCTCACCTTCCTCCACATTCCCTCTTACTGGCTGAAAGACAGATATAGGCAACACTGACTCCTAAGCCATGGGTACAGTTTGCTATGAAGAATTTGGAAGCATGCTCCATTAACCTCAACAGCCCAGGACTGGCGCTCTGAACTGCTCAGGTGCTGAGAAACACTATTGCTTTGACAGCTGATGAAAGCAATAGGAATGTCATACCATGACTGGAGTGAAATGTACAGTTATCTTGAGGGGGAATGAACTGAGGGTGGAGAGAGAATGGGGTTAACTTCAGGTCACAGAGCTTAAGGAATTAAATAAAACAAAATAAATACATCTTCCAAGAGAGGTGATTCTGAAATTAGGTTCCTAAGACTTAAAAGGAAAGGGTGCAGGGAGTCACTACTTCCTAGCAAAGTATTTGCCAGTTTCTGTCTAATAATTTCCTCTTCTGATCACCACTCTCTCTTTTTCTCCTGCTCCTACTGAAGCTGGCAATGAGAAGCAGTTTCTCCTTCCCTTAGAAACTTCCAATCCTGTTTTACACTTCTCTGGCTCCTCCCTCCCTCAAGGCCCACAGTGTGGACCCTAACTCTGCCTTTGGCACCATCTGAACCACCAACCCCTCTGTGCTCCTTGTCCTTTGGACCTGCTCACCCTTCGCACCACTTTCAATTCAACAGGCACAAACCCCAGCTGCCTTCAAAGTGAGTTTTCCATTCTAAGAAATACAAATATCAAACCCAAAACTTCTTGGTGTGTGTGGAGGGACAGTGTTGAGACTACTTCCAGTTTTCCAAGGAGCTCATCTAGTTCTGGAGTACTGGGGGGAGTTGAATGGTGAAGCCCCACTCAGAATATGGCTGTGTGCTTCTTCCAAGCCCCAGGACTGTGGGGGAAACAAAGTCTGCGCAGAGAATCCTAACCCTTCCTATTCTCTCTTTTTTTTCCTAGTTCTTCTTTCCATGGTAGCTTCATTTGGTTCTTCAAACTAGAGCTTGGCAACTAAATGCCTAGGTGAAAAAGGAAACAAAAAGAACAGTTCATCAGAGTACAACCAAAATGAAGTGAAAGAACAGACTAGCAGCTAGAGGTGGCTTTAGTACAATTATTTAATTTTTTGAGAAAAGGTCTTGCTATGTAGCCAACAGGCATGCCTATAGCCATTAAAGGCATGTTTTGCATTCCAAGTTTTCTTTTTTCTTTTTGGTAGTACTGAGCTTTGGACTCATGGCCTAGCACTTGCAAAGCAGGTGCTCTACCACTTGAGCCATACTCCCAGTCCTTCTTTTAACTTATTTTTTGGATAGGGTCTCTCCTTTTTGCCTGGGCCCATCTTGAAACCTTGATCTTCCTATTTATACCTCCCATATAGCTGGAATCACAGATGTGAGCCACCACACCCAGCTTGTTGGTTGAGATGAAGGTCTCACTAACTTTTTGTCCAGACACTGTCCAAGTTTTCTTCCCCTTTGGTTTCCTATTTTATATCATTTTTTATAATATCAAGGAAGTAAGCCAAGGCAAATATGAGAGAAGGATACAGATTTCAGCAGCTACACTTCTGTGTCCTTATTTATATTTGGTGATTAGCCTGTAGGTTGCTTGGCAAATTTTTAAGCACTTCTGTGGTTTTTTTTTTTTTTTTTTTTTTTTTGCAATACTAAGGTTTAAACTTAAGCCCTTGTGTTTGCTAAAAAAGCACTCCATCTTCTGAGCCTCATCCCAGCACTTTTTTTTTTTTTTTTTAACTCTTTATGGTTTTGAGACAGGGTCTCTCTATGTAACCCAGGCTGGCTTTGAATTCACGATTCTTCTGCCTCAGCCTCCTGAATGCCAGGATTATAGGTATGCACCACTATGCCTGGCTTAAGCATTTCATGTCTGTCTGCTTTTTTTCCAGAGTAAGTGCCCCTTAGGGAGTTTATTAGCAAACAGATGGATGGATCACGGGTACAGATGGAGGACTGGGGAGGGGAGTAAGAAGCTCAAAACATGATGAGAACTGGCCAGTCCACAGGCTGTACAGGGAAGCAGAGAGTCCCTACCCTTGGTGATGAACAACAAGGGGCCTCTCGCTACGTGGAGGGCTCCAGCACCTCTTGCTTCTGTTTGGAAATGAGCTGCGCTTCCTTTAGAGACAGGTACACCTCTTCCTGAGGATCATAGTAGTAGAACTTTCGGATATAAGAGATCAGGGGTCTATGGAAAAAAAAAAAAAAAAGAGACACACAAAGTATTATTTGTACAGATCATAAAAGAAATACCTCCTTTGTTCAACCCTTCCTCCTTCATTCCCTATAAGGCTCAGTCTAGACTCAAGACTCTCTGCCACCCTTACAAAATTCCTGCCTTCTCACTCATTACATTTCTGTCTCTCTTTCTTACAGGGCCTGCAGATACCAGGTTGGCACACTCTTCCTCCCTTTTGGCTGCAGTGTAACAGCTCTAGAGTTAAGTGCTAAGACACAGGAGAAGTAAAAGGATGCTGCCTGTGAATGTTTTATGCCAGGCTCTGCCTCTGTGAGTAACGTGCAGGGCTCATTACATTTGTAACTTATTCCCCCTTCCTGCCCCAACCCTAATGACCCCATTGTACTTAGGCAGTGGGAGATCCGGGATGTGATCTATCCGGACAAGCTGTCGGATCCGGAATCTGCAAAGGTGCTGGAGAGATTTGACATTGCTGAATCGGGACACTGGATAGAGCAGTTGGACTGGGGTTGGTGGCAGTCCTTTAAGAATGAACACAAAGGAAAATAGTCAGAGGGAACAATGCAACTAACTACAACTTCCCTAGGAAAAGAATCCAGGGAGAGGTAATGGGGCTTTTTTATAGTTCTTTCCACAAAAAAGCCTTTCTACAAAAGGCTACTGAATTCCACTTGTAGAAGGTACCACTACCATATTTCACACTCAAGGAAATTTGTTCTCCTCTGCTGATGACCTCTCCAGCATCACTTGTCCCAGCCCCCCAGCATCACTCTTAACAGTTGAGAATCTTGGTTCTCAGAAGGGCTCAATGAATAATGCTTAGCTTTGCTGGTAAATAGCAGGCACAGTTGGAATCAAAGTTGACAAGCCGATCACTCCTGCCATTTACTTCAAGTCAGGAAGTTCAGGTTCAGTCACCTTTTATTCTGACCCACCCTGCTGTCCCCACTTTCACTCCTCTTTCTGCTTTTGCAATGTTAGGCTGGATTACAGGAACACAAAAGGATGATGATGGTTTTAAAACAAGAATTGCCAGGCACTGGTGGTCTCACCTATAATGATAGCTACTCAAAGGATCACAGTTCAAAGCCAACCCCAGGCAAATAGTTTGTGAGACCCTATCTCAAAATAAACCATCACAAAAAAGGGCTGGTGGAGTGGCTCAAGCAGTAAGAGTGCCTACCTAGCAAGCCTGAAGCCCTGAGTTCAAACCCCAGTGCTGCCAAAAAAAAAAGAAAAAAAAAAAAAAGGAACTGCCTGGCACCTGTGGCTCACACCCATAACACTAGTACTTGGGAGACTGAGATTGGGAGGACTGCAATTCAAGGCCAGCCTAGGCAAATAGTTTTCGAGACCCCCCATTTCCAAAATAACCAAGATAGACTGGAGGTGTGGCTCAAGCAAAAGAGCTCCTACTTTGTAAGCATGAAGACCTGGGTTCAAACCCCACCTAACCCCTCCGCCAAAGTTTTTTTTGTTTGTTTGTTTGAAAAGAACAAGAACTACAGTAGCTCAGGCAAGCTGGGATTAATGCTAAAGTGCCTGCCAGCCAGGCTCAATGGGAATACTACACCCTATGTATCAGCAGGCTCAGTGCTGGCTAATCTCAACCCACAGTAAGCAATAGCATAGAACAGACACCCACCCAGAATGGCAGGGACACTAAAACATTTGTAATCCAAAAGAACTAAGAATATCCTAGTTTCAACAAACAAAGGAACTATGAAAGGTAAACAAAACTGTGAGAATCTGAAATGAAAAATCTTTGAAAAGAATTCTTTTCTCAGCCACTGTCATATCAAAAGAAATTCTATAGACACAACTGGTTGGAAAATAAATTATTATTATTTGGGATTTAATTTCAAGCTTACCTGATTATCTTAGAAACATTTAACTGAAAACTGTATTTAGAGACTGACATTGCCATTCCCTATGAAGAAACTGAGGCCCACTGAACTTAGAGAACCAGCTAATAGCACAGAACCAACAAAAGTGACCTGCCTTGAACACCTGTTTTAAGAAGAGTCAGCAGTGGCTCTCACCACAGCTCAGGGAACCACTGAGGGTTCTCCAGGAGTGTCCTTAGAGCACACGATAGGGCTTTTCCAGGATAGTTAGAGCACAGATTCATGTATTACCAGCCTCTCTGGTCCCCTCCCTCTCCCTCCTTACATTTTTAAACACTTTAGCACTCCCCATTGATGTGGTAGGCCATCTCTATTTAAAAACATTCACACATAGCTGGCACCCATGGCTCATGCCTGTAATCCTAGCTATTCAGGAGGCAAATATCAGGAAAATGGAGGTTCGAAGTCAGCCCAGGGAAAATAGTTCACAAGACCCTATGTCGAAAAAAAACCATCACAAAACAGGGCTGGCAAGTGGCTCAAGTGGTAGAGTACCTGCCTTGCCAAGTGTGAAGTCCTGAGTTCACACCCCATACTGCCATGTTTCTTTTTTTTTATGTTCCAGTTTCCAGTCATGTCACTATTTTTCTCTTCTCTGAAGGAGATTAAGATTAGGGGTATGAACAAGCACCCCAAACACAGTCCTTCTGCTCCTCAAAAATCAGAATCAGATTAGGAATCATATCTGCTTCATAATCAAGGCCTCATATTCTTAGAAGTATAGGGCTGGGGATGCAGCCTAGTGATAGAGGCTTGCTTAGCATGCTCAAGTCTCTAGTTCAATCCCAAGTACCATGAAGAAGGAGGAGAAGAGAGAGAATAAAATAGAGACTGGAGGACCTTATGTATAATCTTTCAAAAAAAAAATAAATAAATAAACAGCCAGGTGCCAGTAGCTCATGCCTGGTTTTGGAAGAATCAAAGTATGAGGCCAGCTGGGGGCAAACAGTTCATAAGACCCCTATCTCCAAAATAACCAGAGCAAAATGGACTGGAGGTGTGGCTCAAATGGTAGAGTGTCTGCTTTACAAGTCTGAAGCCCAGTCCCACCAAAAAGAAAAAAGAAAAAAATAAGATCAAGGTCAAGTAAGTTTTTAGTGAAATACTGTTTCTTAGTATCTCACCTGATTCTTCAGCTTGAAACAGCTGAAGAGAAACTGCAATGTAATAAATCTTTGACAATGCATTTCCTAGGGAATGGGAGAAAGGATGATAGGCAGAAGATTCACTCTTATGTACCCTTTTGTGTTATTTGACCTTTTTATTACATACATGTTATTTTCACAATTTAAAAAGAAATACATAGTAAAATCCTGCATTACAGGATATAAAATGAAAATACATGAAGCAATTAAATTTCTATATACTAACAATGAACAATCCAAAAATAACTAAAATTAAGAAAATTCTAAAAATAATAAAAGACTTAGGAATAAATTTAATAAAAATGGTACAAACTTTTCATTATGAAAAACTATAAAACATTGTTCAAAGACTTTAAAGAAACTGGGCATGGTGGCTTCTTTAATCCCAGTACTCTCGAAGCTCAGGTAGGAGGATCACAAATATAATACTAGCTTGTGCTACATCTCCAACCCTATGTTCATTTGTTTAGTATTCAGAATAGCGTAATGAACCCTGTGTACCCAATACCAAATCCCAACAGCAAGACCCTGTCTCAAAAAAAAAAAAAAAAAGTTTACAGAACAGCTAAATAAACAAAAAAACCTCAAGCCTATGAATCAGAAGACTTAATATTGTTAATATGGCAAAACTCCCCAAACTGATGTACAATTTATTTCCTATCAAAACGTCAGATAACTTTTTTTGAAGAAAATGACAAGCTCATCCTAAAGCTCATATGGAAATGCAAAGGAGCCAAAATAACTCAAACAACCTTGAAAAAGAAGAACAAAGCTAGGTGACTTACTACAATTTAAACTTAATTTAAAAACTTACTACAAAGCCACAGTAATCAAGATAGTGTGGCATAAATGTAGACAAAACAGCTCAATGGAACAGAACTGAGTGTCCAGAAACAAACCTGTACATTTACAAACAACTGATTTCAACAAGGATGCCAAGAAAATTCAATGGGGAAAGAATTCAACAAATGATGCTACCAAGAATATATAAAGAACCTTAGTAACTCAATAATAAAAAAATAAATAATTTAATTTGGAAATGAGTAAAGGGAAGCTGGGAGTATGGCTCAATGGTAGAGCACTGGCTTAGCATGTACAAGGCCCTGGCTTTGGTGCCCAGAACCAAAAAATGAATGATTTTTAAAAACACAATAGCAAAAGTTTTGAATACATATACAAAGTAGCACATAAACTCATGAAAAGAAGTCAAGATCATTAGGGAAATGCAAATCAAAACTACAGAGATAGATATAATATAGCTCAATTGTAGAAGTACTTGCTTAGCATGTGCAAGGTCCTGGGTTCAATCCTTAGCACCTCAAACAAAACAAAACAAATAAACAACAACAACAACAAACCCGTAAGAAGATCTATCATACTTCACACCAGGATGGCTACTTAAGAAAATGTGTTGGCAAAGATGCACAGAAATTGAAATCCTCCTGCATTGCTGTGAGAATGCAAAAATGGTTCAGTCATTTTAAATTTAGCAGGTACTTAAAAAGTTAAACATGGAGTTAGGATACGATACAGCAATTTCACTCTTAGGTATATAAAAGAAATACTTGTAAAATGACCCAAACATTGTATGCACGTAAGAATTAAAAAAAAAAAAAGAATTACTTGTATAAATACTTGTACAAAAATGTTCACAGAAACCTTATTTCATAACAGCCAAAAAGTGTAAACAACCCAAATGTCATCAACTGATGAATGGATAAACAAAATGTAGTATGTTCACACAATGGGTTATTATTCAGTCAAAAAAAAGGAATTGGGGTTGGACCCCAGTAGCTCATGCCCGTAATCCTACCTACTTGGAAAGGTGAGATCAGGAAGATCATGGTTCAAGGCCAACCTGGGCAAATAGTCTACAAGACCCCATTTCCAAAATAACCAGAGCAAATTGGACCAGAGGGTCCATTTTGTGGACCTACAAGTGGTAGAGTACATGCTTTACAAGTGCAAAGCCCTGAGTTCAAGTTCCCCACACCAAAAAAAAAAAGGATTGGAACCAGAGATATAGCTCAGTGATAAGAGTACTTGCCTAGCATGGAGAGGCCCTGGGTTTGATAACCAGTACAGCAAAAAAAAAATAAAATAAAAATTCACCATCTAGATGAGATTCAACAAAAGGAATTAAATTCTGACACATGCTACAACACTAATAAACCTTGAAAACATACTAAATGAGAGAAACCAAAGAGCCAAATCTGCAGAAACAGAAAATAGATTTTTGGTTGGCAGAGGTTAGGAGATGGGTGGCAATAAGAAATAACTGTTAATGGTATGGGGTTTTCATTCTACTGTAATGAAAATGTTCTAAAGTTGATTGTGATGATCACTGTACAGCTCTGTGAATATACTAAAACCCACTGAATTGTAAGCAAACTTAAAATCAGTGAATTTTATGTCACATGAATTATACCTCAATGAGGAAAGAAGAAAGGGAGGAATGGAGTGAGGGAG